TCTTAAACAAACGATAATGTCTGAAATGTCGGTCCCCACTCCCGAGGTAACCAAACCAAACCAAACCATACTTGTTGCAATACTATGAACGGGTCATATGGTCCCAGTCGTTGCTGAAAAGAAAGAAAACGGACTTAAAGAATTTAAAGAGCATAACTGCATTTGATTTAACTAAAATAAGTTAAAATAATTTTTTAAAAAAATCTGAAAGGTTTCAGATTTTAAATTCCGTTTAAAGGGACTTTTTTTTTTTTTTTTTTTTTTTTTTTTTTAACATTTTGTCTGTTACCTTTATTTATTAAACGTCATGTTCTTCGCACTTAAACCATAAAATTCAGTTCAAGAGTCTTAATAATAAATAGTCTTAAATTGAGCATATCTTTACCCCTTTGCACTCGAGCGGTGCCTCTCAGGTACCACTGCATGTGATTCGATAACTCGAGCGGTGCCTGAGAGGCACCATTCAAATCGATGTGTTTATTTGTGTTTGACCTAAGGAATATCGCTTGAGAGATCTACTTGGCCTTTTGTAGATCATATTACGAGATGTCTGAATAGCTATAAGGATGTCTTATCTCAAATAAAGGTTGTCTTCGCAATGCTTACGCGATTAAATGTCTTATCTCAAAAATACTTGCGACCGCGGGTAGGACTCTGTCTTCGACATCAGTTCGAACTCAACCTTCTTGCCAATCGCAGTATTTCTTTCAAAGATACTGAGCCCAATAAGTATGGAACACAACGAAGAAGTTACTTCTAGCGAAGACGAGTTTAATTTTTCGGCAATAACGAACGAAATTACATCACTACATAGACAGCTTGCCCATGAGAACGAAGACGGAAGTGATAAAGATAGTGACGACGTTAGGGGAGCAGGAAGACAAAAATCCGAATAATCGATAGTGAATCTGGAAGCCAAAGTGATTGTACAGAAGAGACTGAACCTTCAGAATGGACAGTGTGAACAGAAAAGCGCGTTTATTGCAAAGGGTTAAAATTTCCGATACAGAGTCTCGCGCCCTGGAGATAAAAATTTTTTTTTTTTTTTTTTTTTTTTTTCCGTACAGTGTTGCCATGGCTCCTTTGAAATCCTTGAGTTTGTTCATCAAAAATTCATTAAAGTTTTACAAAATATGAAATCGATAATAAAACAAATCCAAATTTGGGCTTCCACACGCCCATATTCGTAGGAGGATTACGTCATTCAAAATTCGATGGCTTTATGTACCGTTGTTATCACAATGCGAGAAATATACGTACATTTATGCAGATTTTTCATTATTTAATTTCTTCAAATATAATGCAGGACTCTCAACATTTAGTGGCAACAGTTAGAAAAGTGAAACGGACATTTATAGTGAACCAACACAAAATGACAAAATGAAAACAATAGTCCTTCAGGGACAAAGCCCTTTGGACTCACTATTGTGTATTTTATACATGCCTGCAGAGAATTTTTTTCGAAATTATTAATCATATGGTTCTTGGAACAAAAATTAACTGATTATTGTAAAAGTTGGACTGGAGTTTGTACTGTATTTTTTAAAAAAAAAAATTTGTAATTTATTGTCAAGTTATTATGAGCTTTTATATTTTTAACTTGTTCCAGCTTCAAAGGACGACATTTTTGCGATAATTAATGAATTCGATAAAGTGGCAGAAATCTTATGGGAGAAAAGGATTTCGAAATGTGTAGTCGAGGTATTGAATACTGGATTAAACCAATGTATTAAATTGGGAGACTAGAAATAACCCAAATCAAATGAAAATGGACTTGTCTTAAAATAAAAGAAGACCAGTTAAATACAGTAATTAAGGATGCTTGGAGTAAATTGAAAACATCGAAAATGACTCAGGATATTCAAGGGAGAAGGAAGATAAAAAAAAAAATCAATTAAAACATGAAATTGAAGCAGATATAAAGAAGAAAAATGAGCTCACACGTAAGCCCTTGAACGAAGACATTCATATTTAAGATGAGATTAGGATTCAACTTAAACTGTTAAAGATTGGGTTTAGCCTATATTTTAGACTAGTATTTTAACCTCGTTAGCCCTTACCTCGTTAGCCTTTTTACTGAATTTATAACTTAAACATTAAATTACAGGATTTTAGATAGTGTTCAGATAACTAGATTAGTGTGATAAGATAGATAAGTGTTTTTATTATACTATTGGATTTATTATAGTTGTTGAAATTTCAGGAAATTAGGTATACGTACGGATTTATTATACGTATTGCATGTGTAAGGAGTTAAATCGAAATTTGGAAAAAGTAAGAATGTTTATGAAAGAAATTATGAAGATTATAAATGATAATAACGTAAGAAAAATTTGGAGATTTGGGGTAAAATAAGAAGATAATGAAGTTTATGGGTATAAATATAATGGATACTTTTATATTTTGCTGGCGCAAGCGATAAAGTCGCCAAAAATGGTACAACCGAATGCCAAACGGAATTTCGTCGCTGATAACATTTTACGTATCATTTTCAAAACAAGTCGCAGCCATTTCTTATTAGATTGATTGTTTCTTTGATTACTGTCATACAATTACATAGAATTTTTATCAGATAGTTCAATTTTATGCCCTAAGGCCATTCGCAGTAATTAAGTCAATTAGGATGCAATCACACCGTTCACCCGAAAATATGGAAAAGGCAAAGTCAAGATTCATCCATTCTAATGAGAATGCACTAGCGAAGTAAAGCACTGAGGTTTGATTTCTGAGTAAGCTATTCTTAGGAATTGAAATAATTCTTGCATTTAAACTTGTAATCCAAATTAAGATTTAACTTGAAATTAATGTAGATAATTACGGAGAGAATTAGATTTTTGTAGCATAGTTTACGTGAGATGAGATCACTTCGGGTCACGTGATTTGAAATGGCGAATCGGGATTTAATACCATGAAAGCATAGCATATTCTTAAATTAATGTCTTTTTACAAAATTTTAAACGATATTAAAATGTTCATGCCTTCAAAATAAAAATTTCTTAGAACTAAAATTTGTTAACATTTTTTTATGTGTATACTGTGTGTTGTCGCCAATTGCGCCGGCGAAACGGAAAAGTACCATATAAGGGAAAATGATAAAAACAAAGAACACCTTTTAAAAAGAAATTTGAAAGCGAAATAATAAAAGACGTAGTGTAAAATAACCAATATATAAATCGATGGTTTAATCAAAGAATGATAAAAAAATAAAGAGTAAAAATAATACTAAACGTATATAAACATATAACGAAGGTTAGTAAATATATATATATATACAGGATGACCCAAAAGTAGCTCCACAGTTTTAAATTAAAGAAGAGTATCGAAAGTTAAGTAAATTTATATTTTGAAACTCATAGTAGAAAGTGTCATTTTTGAAGTTTTTATTTACGAAAAATGACGTGAATCGTGAAATCATATCATGAAAAATTCATGATAACAAACAATGAGCTCTTTATTATCTTCCTGTTCGCAAGCTTCCTGCTTTCATTGCGTCCTCCTATTGATGCTGTCTATTCAGATTTGAATATTAGTTGTAATATCGTATTGACTAGAAGGAGCATATTTGACATTACAATATCGACGGAAGTTTTTCTGCATAGAAATAATGCTTATTCCGTTTCCCAAACAAAATTGCTATGATGTTTATCCATTTCGCTCTATATCGAAACTTCCAAGTATTTCTTTTAACCTAAAAAACGAGAAACTCAATAAATATTAATTAATGCCAGAAAGAATTATTGAAATTAAACCATGAAGGTACTTTTGCGCCAGTGTATGTATGTACAGTGGAACATCGAGCACCTCTATATGCGGAAAATTCGGGATACGAGGAAAGTATGAGCGAAACATTTGTCTCTAAATACGAGCATTGACTCAAGTAACGAGCAATGAGCCTGGCTGTGGGCATGCTTGGCGCCATTTCCCGATCCGGCTCGACTCTTGTAATCCCCTCGCCAGATCACTCGGTGTTCGTTGATCTACGTGTTTGTGCGCTTGTGAATTAATTGTTTATTACATTTAACGTGAAAATAATTATTTCGCGATGCCTCCCAAGACTGCCTCGGGCAGTGCTGCAAAGAAAAGTAAGGAAGCCATGGCCGTTGAAATTAAGAAAGAAAGAAATCGTTAATTAAACATAAGCGTAAGGTGAGAGAATTGGCGAAGACTTACGGCCTTTCGACATCGACGATCTGCACTATTCTGAGAAAGCAGGAAGATAATTAAGAAACTTAAAGTAGGCAAGGAAGATACCATTACTTCCAAGCACCATCCAAAACTCCTAGAAGCTGCTGTTGGTGTGTATTTAATGAGAAGCAGTTAAGGTCGGAAGCTGTCATAAAGGTAAACGACGGTTATATTATTTACCAGTGTTATATATTAGGAAAATGTATTTTTATGTTGATATTTTTGAGGGTGCGGAACGGATTAACTGGATTTCCATTATTTTAAATGGGGAAGTTTGTTTTCAGATAAGAGAAATTCGCCATACGAGCTCAATGCTGAAACGAATTAAATTAGCATGTCGAGGCTCGAACGTACGTATTAGCATGTACGAGGAAGCACGAATTGAGTCATTGAACTGAGTAATGATAATTGAATTGAGTAATGGGGGCAATTTCCCCTTGACAAGTCTGTCTCCAGCCTGCTCAACAATTACTCACTTACGCAATTTTTAGGAATAATAAAAATTGTTTGGAATAATATATTTTTTCATGGTTTTAGATAAGTGCAATTAATTTACATGTGCTCTTAGAATTTAAATGATATTGTAAATTAGGTCGTAGCAATAATAATAATTATTATTTTTATTTCTTTGCAATTAAAATTTCTTAATTAAATTTTAATTTTATATTTGCTTTATAAACGAATAGAGAATTTTATATCTGCTCTCTCTTCTTTATATATATATTATACGTGTACTCACCCTGTTATTCGGATGGGTGAGCTCTGTTTTTTATTCTTATATGTTTATTCTTATTCTTATATGTTTTATTCTTATATGTTGGTTAATTTAGATTTTTTTTAAATGATTGAAATTTGTTGTTCTTTCATTAGGGTTAAGCTTTTGTGCCTTTAGTTAATATCGTAATGATGAATATCAAAGTGGCGTTAAACCCTAGCGTGGTGGCTATTCAGTTACATTTGAAACGCTTAGTAGTATAGTGAATTAATTTAGCTAGTGCTACAAATTTCAATGTCTTTTTGTCCAGTGGGAACAGAAGTTAACGTTAAATTTTTGTGAACTGAAAATTTTATATTCGTGCCCTTTGGATGGGGTGCTTGTTTTCAGACTGAAACTAATTGTAATTGTGAAAAAAAAAATTGTTTAAATGTATTTATTAGTATTTTTAAGTTTACCTGTGTTTTATTATTTTTACTGAAGATGTTTTGACTTTTGGTATATTTTGTGCTGTGTATTTTGTGTTTATATATTTTTTGTTGTGTACTGCAAAAAAGTGAATTGATTGAGTGAGAATAAGTTTAAATCAAGTGCACGGGAAACACTGCAGACATGTATAATGAACAGGAAACGTTTAAACGGAAAAATCTTTTTATATTCTCGAGTGTGACATATTTATCATGTGACATCGAAAAATGAAGTTATCATTTTTCCGAATACTGATTATTAGTCTAATAACAGAAAAAGTCCTTGATACTTTATATCACGAAATCTACAGCTTGGAAATAAATAAATAAATGGTTGCTGATTACCCTGCAGGTAGACTTGTAGCCGAGTCTCGAAGTAAACACGATGTTTGTCTCTGTACAATTTGTCTGCCAAAAAAAAAAAAAAAAAGGCAAAGCGGTATAAGACATATTGGGGCCTTTTAGGTTATTTAAAAATTAAGCGCAATCGTACAGTCATCCAAATGGACAAAAATAGAATGTCATAAGAGTGACAAAGTGAAGGAACGTAATGCACAGGATAAGATCTTGACATTGTTAGTGCTGCCTTGTTGGCGTGAAAGTGAATTGTGGTAGTACTAATTTAAATGCGGAATAAATATAATATATATAATAATAAAACATTTTAGACTCGCAGAAATTTTATAAATTAAATGAAAATTATGTCATTAGATAAAATACAAAAATACGTCCAGAATAATAGTAGAAACACAAAGTTCTCGAGATCAAGTACAGAACTCGTGACCTACTAGAGAAGTGCTCCTCTTCCTGCTGCGCTGTTAAGTCCGCATCAAGATCTCACTGACATGATAGTATGATAAATGCTGAATCAATACGGTTTAGAATAAACTGATTCTAGAGTAGAATGAAAAATATACAGATATATACAAAATGACTTGTGGGCATTATGGTGAGTAGTTGTCACTCTTTTGACGGTATTTTCGATTGTAGAATCATACTCGATAATTCGTGTCATTGTCGAGTATTTCTTCATTTTGAAGAAGTTGGGCCCTGTAGGGATTCAGAAATACATTAGAATATATTCAGAGTTTGGACTATTTGTTTCGTGTGTATCTGGGAATTTCTCATGTATCAAGAATAGTTAACTATAGTGTGGAAGATTTTATTTTGGAAAACTTAAATTTTTTGTGAAAAGTTTTCTCCCACAGTTGAGGCAGTAACTCCATGTAAAGATACTGATAACAGTTTGTAGCAGTTACTCCACGTACTTGCTGTCGTCATGCCTGGAATCAAAATATCGTGCTGTTTTATATCTCATTTGAAAGTTTTAACTCATAAAGTGAGTAGTTCAGATATTGCTTTGCACTGCTGTATTTCGTATTTTTGTCCTTGAAATCATAATTTAGATTAGCGGTTCTCAACCTTTTGACTAACGTGTACCATCTAAACAAAAACTAAAAACTTTAGTACCACTAGTACATTTAGCAATGATTATTTTTCAATTTCTGAATAGAAATATTAAAAAAAATAATTTGCCATTTGTACAACCTATTGGCTATTTATATTAAATTTGAATAAAAAATATTAGATTAAAAAGTGATTACCATTTTTACTCTCAAAATTCAAGTTATGATAATTTAATTCTAAAATTCACTGTGAAATTTGGGCCTGTTTCAAAAAAAGAGAGTTCAATTTCTTTATGTTTGTTATTTCACTTAGTTTTAACCATAAATTAGGATCCGCTTTTGATTTTGTTCCGTATTTATTTTTCAAATATAACATGGAAGAAAATCCTCGTTCACATAAATAGGCTGTGCAAAAAGGGAATAAAAATTTAATAGCTTTATTTGAAATGCTTATAAATTATTTTTTTCGGTTCAGCCAAAAGTTAAAATGTGTGCTATTTTTGAAATCTTCAGATCATAGGAAATGTCTATCAAATCTTCACGAGATTTTGTAATTTAGTAGATAAAAATACTTAACCTATTTTTCTCTTGCATACCACCGGTTGAGAATCGCTCCTCTAGATTATTTTTGTAATCTTAGGTTATGAAACTTTTAAAATTGTACTTAGATTGTATTCAGTAGTTAACAACAACAAAATTATCAAAGCACTTCATTTTTATTGCAGATCTTAAACACTTTAGCTGTCTCATGAGATATTTTTCATGAGACTCAGTTGAAAGACCGAAATTTCTTTTTATTTTTTGCATATTTTATGATATTTGTATCTAAGTTTCTTGTAGTACCCAGATAATAATGCTTTACTCTATTATTAAAAATTATTACAATTTAAGTTAGTGTATAATAGTTATGATGTAATAATAGTTAGTATATAATGTTTTACTGAAAATTTGCTTTAGACATTCGGCCAGATTTTGACTATAGTTCAAGGAAACACCCTGAAAAAATACGTGTTCATTTCAAAATATCAGCAAATTTTTTTATATGGATTGTTCAAGAAAGATATATTGGGTCTGTCCTAAATTTGTGCGCATTTTTTGGCAAAAAAAAACACAATTTAACATTTTAATCAATTATACATTTTCCTCCATTATCTACAGTGTCTCGCCATCTTACAGGCAGCTTTTTTATGCCATTGCTGTAGAAAGACAGCCATTGCTGTTTTGATACAAAAAAACTTGAAATTTCATTGTGTACATCCTGTTTAGAATTTAATTTTTTTCCCCGTAAAAAATTTTGTAAGGCACGAAATAAGTGAAAAATCACTTGGGGCAATATCTGGGGAGTAAGCAGGATGTGGCAAAAGCTCCCAATTAAATTCACTCTTTTTTTTGCAGCGTTGTTCGAGCCGTATGCGGACTAGCGTTATCACGATGAAACAACACTTTCTTGATATTCACCCATCGTGGGCGTTTCTTGATCCATTCTGAATTTAGACGGCAAAGTCGTTCACTATAAACTACTGAATGAATCGTTTGATTTGGTTCTAAGAGTTCAAAAAGTCCTGAACGAGGTTCATCACTAATGCTGCTTTTTCCAACTTTAAATTTTTTTAAACCATTTCTGGACAGCCCTTACACTAATAGCATGTTCACCATGCACACTATTAATTTTTATCGCTGCAAACCTGGCCGATTCACCACACGAAAATAAAAAATGTAGCACGGCAGGTTTGTACTGATTATCTATATTCATCAACTAGGGGTACTAAAATGCGTTCGATATTTACGAAAGTTGGTGATGAACTGAATAATATGTTAATGAAACGATGACAAGTTTCAACAGGTTGAAAATTGTATTGTTTTAGTAAATGCGTCATAGTGAATTCCACGCACACTCTTAATGCGCACGAACTTATAGATATGTGAAAAAGAATTATGCAGGGTCAGAAGGCATCCGCTATTACAACCGTTGTTTGTTGTATTAGTTTTAACTTGACTTCATTCATTTTGTATTCTATTAAAGTAACGAGAAAGATTTCGAAAATATATTTTAATACAATTACAAATGAACTGATAATACGCAAAAATCTATAGCTTTCTACGTATATTTTTCTGTAAAGAAATAATGGATTCGAGTCAAGAAAAACCTTTTATTCACCACTTTCAATGTGACATTTCCTTCATCTTTGTGCATTCTGTCCATGACAAAGTGCGTACACACTTTTACCCGTCAGTTCGTCTGCTGTGTAATCCAACAGTTCTGACACTCTGAAAGAAATAATGAAAAATTAGAATAAAACTTTGGCAACAGTAACTACTGAAATTTATTTTCAAGTTCCGCTTTATCTGGGTCACAGCTTGCCACTCGAAATTCGAACGCGAGACGCGTCACGAACATATCGCTCTCCAATCTTACTTCGTTGATAGAAGGTAAAGGTAAAGGTCATGGTCACCATTTCCGTCACATTTGCTGATCTCTGTTTCCTGCCGTTAGAGAAGCTGTACTAAGTCCTCAAATGAGACAGTATTAGTACAACCTACAAAAAATAAAAATTTGCTTCATAATATTTCATGTAAAAGAAAAACTAAGCATTGATTAACCAAGATTCACTCAATCAATATAATTTCAGTTTAAGCATGTCAGAATTTATTTGCTGGGTGTTTCTCTTACTTTGACTACACATTTAAAAAAAAATTGTTTTTATCTCGTTTTCTATCCAAGTGGACAAAATATGTGATAAATAAGGTAAATTTAGCATTTAGGATTTTTTTGACAAATAGGTTTTGAAGCCAAAGGCTGGGGACATGTATGTCCCAGCAAAAAACCCACAGGAAAAAAAGCCCACAGGAAAAATGCTCACAGATATAAATGCTCCCAGGAAAAAAGCCCACACAGAAATATGGCTACGTAGAAAAAAGCTCACAATGGAAAAATGCTCACTTAGAAATATGCTCACACGGATATATGCTCACATGGAAATAAGCCCACTGATAAATAAAATACGTAGAAATAAATCCTTACATTAATCAATCTTGAACATCGTACATATACTTGAATTGTTTAAAGAAAAATTATTTGATGATTTGAAAAAATTATTGGACAAATGCTCACATAAACCTTTTCAGGGGCGGTATATAAAAGAATGAAAACTATAGTAAACTTTTGCATGTACTATAATATTTTATACTACTGCCCCTGTACGACATTTTTATTCCTTTAACCGCCAACAATTAATTTTTGTTTTTTTTTTACTCTATTTTTGCATAGTTTTGATATGTATCTATAGAAATTGGTGTTTGAATGTAGTTATTTAAGTTTGGAGCCAAAAAAGTTCTAGAAGACCACAGTTTTCAATCGAAGCGTGGATTCATTATGATGCAGCCTTCGGAAAATCTCCTAAAACCAAAAATTGTTACGAAAGCTTTCATAAGGTACTAAATTCATTATTTAATTGTATCCATCCCAGTATGTGGTTTTTATTTGACGGACTCATAAAAGATTTAGTCTGTCAACGTTTATTATTAGCTTTTGTGAATACACGGCGTACTGAAGTAAAAAAAAAAAAAAAAAAAAAAAAAAAAAAAAAAGGGGGGGGGGGGGGGGGGGAATATGAAAATTTATATTTGCTAATCGCGAACCATGTAAAAAAATATGATGAAATCGATGATAAAATTAAATATTGACATATATTAGCTAATATTCAGCACGTTTATGTATTCATAACTTTTGAAATATATATTTGTGATTTATATATAATAAGGTACTTTCGTAATTTAAATAAAATAATTATTTATGTTTGCTTACTCTTCTAAATAAGACAAACATTGTCGAAACGAGTCTGTCGGTTGATACAGAATTCCTTCCTAAAGAGCGAAATTGTGCAACCTTCAGAACTTAACTACTATTTAACTTATTTAAACTTAATTACTACTTCACTTATGATTTTCAACTTACTTTTATAATTACTTTTCTTGTGGTTGAATGGCAAAGATTATTGTTAAGAAAAATATTCTTTTTTTTTTCCTTTTTACGCAATGTTTAGAACGCAGTGTTCTCTTATTTTGATGATGTTTATGTTAGCAATGCTAATTTAATGTGTAACTTATATTTACTAATATTTTATTTTTTTAACAATTAAAATTGTAATAATTTTTCACTTATATTCTGTTTAATTTTTCTACCTTTTCCTAATTCAAAACGGCCCATTTCTTAATCTTATATAGCAACTGATAATCTTATATAGCAACAGATAATCTTATATACACATAAGTTATACAGATTTTGATATATATATATATATATACCATAGATATTTTGGTAATTTAAATATTTTTTCTATGAGCAATTCACGTAGATGTACGATATTCAAATCGATTACTTATTGATTGATTAATCTAACGATATTTCTACGTATTTTATTTATCAGTGGGCTTATTTCCGTGTAAGCATACATCTATGTGAGCTTTTTTTCCTTGTGAGCATATTTCTAAGTGAGCACTTTTCCCTGTGAGCTTTTTTTCTATGTGGGCATATTTCTGTGTGAGCTTTTTTCCTGTGAGCATTTATACCTGTGAGAATGATTCTGTGAGCATTTTTCCGGTTACCGTCACAGCCGTAGTTAATGTCCCACACGTAGCGTTCAACTTACTGTAAGCACACCTATTATTCTGGAAAACATTATTATATGAAATAGATTTACATTGTAAGGTACAGGGTAAAAATCATTCTTTGCAAAAACCAACATTGGGCAGCTCATATTTGTTCTTTTCGCTACGCTCATTTGTGCGGCGTCGTCTCGATTTTCCATCTATTGGAAGAGGATCCCCAACAGTGAGAAGATTCTAAGTACTTTTTATGTCAGCAGTCATTTTTAAACTTTCAGTGGGACATACATGTTCCGTTAGTTGTCAAAGGGTTAATATTAACTTGGTTGGAAATGGGCGTGCAAACAATTATTCCATACAAAAGTATGTGATAGATGGTATAAGAAAAATATTTTATTTCTAAAGAATCATATTTTATTTATTTCAAGAATGCAAATGTTTATGAATACTTTCACTCTGTTAATTACAAATCACGAGAGATTCATGTAACTTCCATGTATTATAAATTACACGGTTACAGATATCACTAAAGATTAAATTAAAATTATTAATAAGTATACCACATTGCATTTAAATCAGCAAATTAGGTAAGTCGCACACACGCATTAAAGATCTTATAGGGCGTCGAATGGCAGGCCTTTCGAAAACTGGCAGTTTGCCAAGTTATGTCGATGACAAACATTGTCGAAACGAGTCTGTCGGTTGATACAGAATTCCTCCTAAAGAGCGAAATTGTGCAACTTCAGAACTTAACTTATTTAAACTTATTTAAACTTAATTACTACTTCACCTATGATTTTCAACTTACTTTTATTATTACTTTTCTTGTGGTTGAATGGCAAAGACTATTGTTAAGAAAAATATTTTTTTTTTTTTTTTTTTTCCTCCTCCCTTTTTACGCAATGTTTAGAACGCATTGTTCTCTTATTTTGATGATGTTTATGTTAGCAATGCTAATTTAAGGCTGTATTTTAACTGAATAAAATAGCTGTTATTCTTTAAAATTATCGTATTCATTCATCTGGAGAACTTGTAGTTCATTTCAGTGATTTTAAAGGCGTCCGTAACTTTTCGTTTGCAGTTGTTTTTTTACATCTGATAACAACAACAAAAGGCTTGTGCCGATCAACTCTGCTGCAGCCTCTAAAGGAGGAGGATGAGATTCTTATTTATGTTTATGCTTGCATTTGTTTTATTTATTTTTTAAATTTTTGGATAAATTAATGGAAATTTGCAATTATTGTTTTCCGACCAAATCTGAGACGGCGTAGTAGGTATGTTTAAGTTCCAGTCTACTTTGCTGCTTCATTTTCATTTGCAAGCTAGTTATATCTAATTCCGTTTTAAACGTCTGATCCGCAAAGATATATCAACAAGCAGTGCACATACAACTAAATTTATTCTACGACTGTCATCATCTTGAAATAAAGAATAAGCCAAATGGCCTTCGTCTTTTGTACAACATTTTGATACCCATGACCATACCGCTCATCGTTCCTTGGTCTGTATTGTCTAATAATGAAACTGGTGCACGTTTTATACCATTTCATTCCTCAATTCTTCGGCGCGTATTCGAAAGGTCCGTGGTTCGAGCCCCGGCGAGGGCATCGCTCATTTTTCATCTCTCCTACTTTCAAAACTTACCTATTGTCACTGCAGTGGCGCCCGAATTAAAAAAGGTGGTGGATGATGATTCTCCGCCACCAGGATCTGGCGATGGGGTCCCTTAATCTCCAGTCGCCCTTTAAAAGGGGGAAGTAAGTATATAGGTTACAGGTTACGGAGGGCACGGTCACTGTCCCTTTATCATAATGGTTAATCGGTATAAGCACCGTGCCCACCAATGTCTAGAGCCGAAAGATGAGATCACACGGGCGCCCCGCACCCGGAACCGAAGCCCAGAACCCGGACCATCCAGAAGGCAGTCCAACAGACCAAAAGCGCCCTCCAGACAAACTCAAACCAAAGTCCGGGCATTTATTAAAGACAAATAATACAAGGGCTTAAAATTGCACAGCAATAGCACAATGAATATGACTTGAGAATAAATACATGATTAAATATAAGGAAATAAAAGAAATTAAAAATAATAGAAGTAAAAAAAAAAATATAAAATCTAAACTAACAAAGAGAATACATTACATTTACAATATAGTATTCAATACAATATCTGATATTCAAACATGTCACAGTATTAAGTATCCAAGGTACAATATATAATAAAATGGCAAGAAGAAGAAATTAAAATAAGTAATACCTACATATTGAACGAACCGAGAAGACTTAAAAACATAAAATAGTAAAATGGCAACGTTGTAGCCATATAACAAAATTAGGTATATCAGTAATAAAACAAGCATTGCTGGAGCGGATCAAAGGTGCAATAAGAAGAGAATGATACAAAACAATATAAGAACTCAAGAGATACGTAATCAGCAACACCAGCAATTAATAAATATGAAAGACAAAAATATAAAGTACATGGAACAAAAATATATTATATATAGTGCAATTATAATAAATATACATCATATGGAAAAAAAAAAAAAAAAAAAAACTTTAAAATGTTGTTGATGTAAATTATAATATTTCGTATGTTAAGTATAGTAAAAATTTATAGATATACCTAATCATCAAAGTTTAATGAATATATGAAAAATTAA